TCCTGCCAAAAGAGGCTATTTTAGATACTTGAATAAATTTAAAAGTCTTTAATATTTTAGAATACTTAAATATATTAGAATAAAATCATGCTATCTGTATCTTATCTAGAAATCATCATGATAAAATGTTTGATCATATACTAGTAAAATTGGATAAAAGCTAAAGGGTAGTTTTATTGTATTTTTGGCTCTATAATTATATATGTTATAGTTCTCTTATAAAAACATTTTAAACATACCTATATGTAAAAAATTGAAGTGATAGTAAGAATATTATAAATACTACATGAGATAATATAAATTAAGCACTGAGCCCTTTGCCACTTACCAAACACTTAACAGATCCATTTAAATAGTATACATATATACTTTCATAGTAGACCTTTCCAAATTTTCATCTGTATTTCAAACATCCTCTGTTCTTATAAAAAAGGTAGATTATGACACAAAAAGTTAGGGTAATACTTGTGAAGGAAGACAAACGATGTAAAACTGGGAACTTTCCATCATGTTTACTGTGGAAAATCATGTATCTGTAGGTTCGTATGACAGGCATGTAAATAGCCACTAACAAAGATTGGAAATCAGATCAATATTTTAAGAGGAGTGAAAATTTACTTGAAGTGGTCCACAATTTCAAACAATGGTCCCTGTACTTATAGAGATTATTTCATAAATATATTTAAGTAAATAGTCTGTTTTTTAAAAAATAGTGAAAGTAGTTTTATTCTAAATAAAAAGCGAAATGAGAGAAATTTCAAAAGAACAATACTAAGAATAAATACCTAGATTTGCATTTCTACCTTCATTATGATCCTCCCAATTTTTTTTTATAATATAGCTCACAGGCAGTCTGGTTGTACAGAATGAGACTTCCTAGATTTTCTTAAATTTGGATTCACAACTGTATTCATTTCAGTTGCCTCTGGATTTCATAATCTTTTAGTAACATTTGCTTAAAGAATACTTCCATGATTACGGAATCCAAACTCCCAGTGTGTAGCATAAGACTTCTTCTAAAGAAAATTTAATCTTGTATTGGAAGGTGAGGATAAGGCACAGAGAGGCCAAGGAAAGTCTGAACTCATGGACCTTGATGAATCCAGACCTCAGTTTGCAACTATTAGATAAAGTACTTTTGTCCAATCATTTTTTTAGGCATGAAGACTAATAATTGAAGAAACATAAGCACATAATGGGCAGTTCACCCTTTGTCTTTGGGTCTTCATTCTGAAGACTATAATATCTTGAAAATTATGCCCAAATGTTTTAGCTAAGGTTTCTATTGCTGTGAAGAGACACCATAACCACGACAATTATTATAAAGGAAAAATATTTAGTTGGAGTGGCTTGCATTTTCAGATTGGCTTGCATTACCATCTTGGTGCCACATGGTGGTATGCAGACAGATGTGGTGCTGGAGAAGTAGCTGACAGTTCTACATCTTGACTTGTAGGCAACAGGAAGTGATCTGAGACACTGGGTGTGGCTCAGGCATAGGAGCCCTCAAAAACCCACCTCCACATATCACATGTTTTCCTACAAGATCATACCTACCACAAGGCCACACTTTCTACTACTGTCACTCCTTTGGGGGCCATTTTCTTTCAAACCACCACAATTAAAATCACCCTTTTACCTTATTAAGTTGTCTCTTCTCAATATTTATTTTTGTATCTATGTTCATGTGTGCGCACATTCATCAGAGGACAACTTGCTGGAGTAGGTGCCCTACTTCTGCCATGTGTGGTTTCCAGAGGTTGAACTCAGATATTTAGGCTTGATAGGAATCTCCTTTACTAACTGAGCCATTTCATCAGTATTTATGCAGTACTATATTTTTTAATAAACATTGGAGTTAATGATACTTTTGGAAAAAGAAGACATACTCTTTCCCCATAGTAACAATAAAACATAAATGGGAATGAATTATATTTTAACAATATTAAATAAATTATTTGGATATGATATGTGCTTCTACTACCCTAATTTCTTCTTGAAATTAAATCATGCCAGGAAAGGAATTGAAATGCAATGAAATTTTGTTGGAAAGTAGAAAAAAAATCCTTAAACTCCACATGTGTCCTTGAAAACAGCAAAATTCTCTGACATACAGAACAAATGTATCATTGTGAGCCATCATTACATTTTTGTGAACAAGGTTCTTTCTGCCATTTGTTTCATATTCAAGGGGACGTGCTGAAATGTGAATATTAATATGTGTTCCAGAAATATCATGCAAAATATCAAGGATATTTTTATTGTATATATCTAGTTAGTTTCAGTTTGAAATAGCAAGGCTGAATGTAACTTTGCCAGAAGATCAGTTATTAAAGACCCCAAAAGGATGAAAACAAATACTTAATTGGCATAAAAATTCTAACAACTTTTTGTACTAATTAGCTGTGTAACCTTGACTGTGTTATGATGTTCTCTACATACACATGACTTAAATATTTTTATTAGAATTGACTTAGGTAACTTACATGTTACATTATTTATCTAAAATTGTACTTACTTTAATATCTTGAATCTAAATATTAGTAGGCTTTTAACTTACTTGTTTGAATTTTTGGTGACTAAATAGGTAAATGATAACTAAATTGTAATTATAAAATGTAAAGCTACATACCTAAAAAGAGGCAATTAATCTTTCAAGATGTTTAGTGACTTTTCCACTATATATTAAGAGTTCCTTTGTGGGGATAGCTTACTTTAAAGGCAAGAATCACAAGCAGCCTTTCTGGGCGGTGCGAGGCGCGGTCTGGCAGGGTTGAAAGGTCTCGGCTTCTTTCAGTCCTTCTTTGATATGAAGCAAGGCAAAGCCATTCCTGAGTCAGGCCATCCTTATCACCAGATGGTCCAGTCCTGACTGCATGCATTGTATTCTCCCGAGTGGGGGTGGGTGGGCGCTATCATTCCTGGGAGCATGAAGCTAGCCTGGTGTTTCTAAGTTTAAAACATTCTGTTAGGAAATTTCTTCTCCTCCCTTAAGAATAAAAGGGGTGGCCTTGCTTGCTATCAAAGCAAAGGATTTGCTGTTTTCTTTGATCAGTCCTTTGCTTTGAGACTGAAGGAGTATTAGAATCTCTTTGGAGGTCATTGTTTTATGCAAAAAGAGTTTGTTCCATGCCCTCCCCCCAACTTTACTCTGTCCTAAGGCTTCACCTGCTGGTATCTGAACTTTGACGGTCAGAAGTCAGTCCTGAGGACAGCGCACATGTTAAAATTTGCATCTTCTTCTGGGCCAGCCCTTTGGGACAGCTTTTTTCCTCCCAGAATTTCTCTTACTGTGGGAAAGTTGTGGGGAGGTGGGGATTGGGAGTGCGTGGTGGGGTGGGAGTGTTCTCTTTGAAAGGATGAATTCAATCAAGACACAGGTTAAGTGGAAGCTCATTTCCCAAAGCATCAGTGGGGTTGATAAAGCTGAGCAGAGCACCCCAAGGAAAGAGTGGGGTGAGCTTCCCTGAGGTGGGGAGCAGCTTGGTGGGTCCTATGTTGTGGCTCTATGAAACGCTTTATGAAGTGTTTGTGAGGTGGGTGTCAGAGCAGCCACGCTCATTACCACCGAAGCTGAGAATGTTGTAAGAAAGCCAGGCCCTATCTTTGCTACCAGGAATAGCCCAGCCCTACTGTCCAGGATTCACGGCAACTGGAACTGTAGCCACACATCATTCAGACCATCCTTCATGGTTGGCTTGGTTATTTCTTTTTTTTTTTTTAGTAGAAAAAATATCCAATATATTGATTAATAAAAACACAAAATAACATTGGCCATCACAACTTTTCTTCATTTCACGGATGCAGGGATGGCTCAGAATAGTTAATAAATGTGATATGATGACATACATTGATTCAATAGATGTGGGAGAGGTTTTTCACAAAATAAAGCATATCTTTATGACTAGGTGTTGAAGAGACTTTTTTTTTTAAAATAACTGCATCCTTTAATGGCAGTAATACAATTACTGGATTAAGAGACCACATGAGAGAAGGCAGGTGAGGTTTCTGGAAGACAGATACTGAGTACAAAAGGGGGCGGGAGAGCCATGCGACGATCATTGTAAAAATACAGTACGTTATATACATATTTGCACCATCGACTTTCAACTCAGAAATGCTATTTACACTTTTGTTACAATCCTGGTTAGAGAACAATTTTTCTTTAAAAGTGTGGCCTGCTGGCGATTCAAGCGGAGTTCCTTGTCCCACGAGGGTCTTCAGCTGACTATTCCAAGAGGAGGAATAGTTCCTCTCACCCACAGATTTCAGATTTAAAAATTCATTTAATTTTCCTTTAACAAAAGAAAAATTTTGTTTTTCTAATGTAGACCAGCCTGGCTTTGAACTCGTGATCCTCCTGCCTCTGCCTCCTGAGTGCTGGGATAACAGGTAGGCACGACCAAGCCTGGCTTTTACAAAAGAACTTTCAAAGGGGTGGGGTGGGATCCGAACACTGCCACACTACTCTTCCTATCCTACACTTACCATGGCCCCAGTCTTGGAGGCCAAGGCTAGAGTCCAAAGACAAATCTCATTGATGATTGTTTAAGAAAACAAAACAAAATAAAAAACACAAAGACAAACAAAACCAACCTGATCTTGGTGCACTGACCCCGCAGGGTGTTAGCCTGTGGGCACAAGCCCCTCCCACCCCAGCTTCAGGCCCAATATTGTTTTGAAGGGATTTCTCTTTGGGATGGGGATGTGGGAGCCTGGCTCCCCCCGAGGCAGAGGGGACCACTGGCTGTGTCAGGTTTCCTTATCACCAAAAGGAAGCAGCTGAGCCAAGAGACCCAATACAGAAAAGGCAGGCGACAAGAAAGCAGACCTCTAGGGCTTGGTGAGTGACCCAGAGGTAGAAAGGTCTGCAGCAGGTCTTCCCAGTTCCCCATCCAATCTTGGTGACATGGTCACAGGAAGTCTCCCCTCGGGCTCTGGACAAGGCCAGACCTAAGGTTACTAGTAGGGGAGGCTGTGGCAATGCCTCCGTTGACTGGGATCTGGCAGGTGCCTTAGGCCTCCCCACCCCAAGTTTCCTTTCCTAGAAAGGACCAACACACCACTTTGGCCCCAGACTCTACTGTTTCCTCAGGCCCCCTTTTGGAAAGCACCCACTAATCCAACACCGCAACAGACAGCTGATGCCCTGCTTCGGTCGGCTTGGGAGGGAAAAGCAAACACTTTCTGGTACTCTACAGGGAACACGGCTAAGGCGCATGAAAGCAGCTAGCAGACACACTTTGCCAGGACCACCCTTGGCCTCCCTCCATGGGAGTCTGGCAAGTGGCGACACCACGGATCCTTGAGCTGTCTTGAGGGTCAGGCCAGTGGCACTGGACAGGTAATACTGAGGGAGAATGCTCTGAGGGGCTGCCCCACCCCTCTCAGGCCTACAGGCTGCAGGTCTGTCTCACCCAGAGTCTCCTGGAGGGCTAGAGGGTATCACTTTCAGGACAAACCCTGGACGGAGGATGTGAGATGCACAGGCCCGAGCAGGTTAGGACCAGGACCAGGACCTTTTTCTCCTCTGGACATTTTCTCACTTCTCTGTTGCTCTGTCCTGAAGCAGGCTGTCACAGGTTGCACGCTGAAGAGAGGCCAGCTCACCCTGGGGCTTTAGAACTCCTGCACCAGCTTCCACCAACTGTGCTTTAGTCCATCTCCCAGCAGCACGGGGTGAGTGGCTTTCAGTGCCTTCCCAGACACTCAGGCTTCCCTTAGTTCCGGGAAAGCCCCAGGCTGGGGACTTGCCACTGTCCAACGCAGGGCACAAGTTGCTCATTAGGCAGAGCGAGCCAAGGAGCCTGTAGCACTGACCAGAACCCAAGACGGTTAGATACAATGTATGACTCAAAGAAAGTACTACTTAAAAAGGAAGAAAAGGAAGAAAAATGTTAAGAACACCCTGCCTGTCCCCCACCCGTAACTCTGGTTGCTGCCCTTAAATGTCACCCTGGAAGGGTGGTGGAGTGGAGGGAGCATTGGCCCCAACAAATACTACTGGCAAAAGGGGGAGGCTGTGGGGTCAAAGCCTTTAAAAACGTCCTTCAGGGACCCTGCATCCTGCTCACCCTCACGAGCAGGGCTGTTGCCAGCAAATGGGCTTCCTGTGCCTGTTTTGGGGGCAGGCTTCACAGTCCCAAAGAGGGTGGGCACTGGCAGGTTGTGCACTCCAGGTTGGGGTGTGGCCCCCTCAGGGGGCGGGGTGGATGAGGCAGCAGTAGGTGCTGCAGTGGCCTTGGGCCGGGGCTGGTTGTAGCTGTTGTATCTGTCCGTGGCTGTGGCCCCATCTGCGCTGACCTTCCCTGTCTCTGGCTGCTCCAGGGCAGACTTGCGGACAAACGGGGGCTCTTTTGCCTTGGAGGCTGAGCTCTTGCCGTTGCCCTCAGGACCCTTGGGCTGAGCACTCATGTCGGAGGCTGGCTCTGCAGCTTTGCCACCTGCATTGGGAGTCCTTGGGTCATACAAGCTGATGCCACTCAGCACACTGCTCTGCCCGCTGCTGCTGCCCTGGCCCAGGCCACCAGCGGCTAGCACTCGGGGGTCATAGGGAGCCGTGGCTGGTGGGGATGAGTCTCCACTTGGGCTGGCAGCAGGAGGTGATGCTTCGGTGGAACAGGGCTTAGTTGCACGGGATGTTGATGCAGGATCTGCTGACTTCTGTAATCTGGGGTCAGTAGGGGTCTTCCGCACCCTGGGGTCGCTGGGTTTGTCACTCTGGCCAGGGGTGTTGACGTTGACAGTCTTAAGGATTCGGGACAGAAGTTCAAAGTCAGGTAGGTTAGAGCCAGATGTGCTGGGATCTGTGGAGCCTGGACACTGCCGGGTGTTGGGAGGCCCAGGGGGTGTGGAGCGGTGCAGCCTGGGATCTAGGGCAGGCAGGGACTGCAAGGCAGCAGGGACCGGGGGCACGTCCTGCTTGGGGATGGGCAGGGGAATCAGGTCCTCGGGGTTCCAGAGCACAGTGCGGGCAAAGCTTGGCTTGCTCAGGGTCACATCTTTCTTAATGTGGCTGAACTGCTGCAGCTGAGAGCGAGGGTCCCGCAGTGGGTGCCCAGGCAGGGGCTCCAGGGGAATGTTCACTGCCTTCTCGCGCAACGCCCGCTCCCCTTCCTCTTCTTCTGCAGTGCTCTGTCCTTTTGAACTGCTGGGGCCCGCAGGGCTGGAATGAAGGCTGCCTTCAGTCTTGGAGGTGGGCAGGGTACGAGCCAACCGAGGGTCAGAGGGCCCTGAGTCCCCTGGGCCAGTCCCTCCTGAAGTCTCTGCATGGCGGCTGAGTCTGGGGTCACGGCTGAGTCTGGGGTCAGCCAGCCGGCCTCCTGTGGGGTGTCCCTTCTGCAAGCGGGGATCCCCCAGCCCACTGCTGCTTGGTTCCCCAGCTGAAGCTTGAGGTCGGCTTGATGTCTGCTGCCTCAAGGTCTTGAGGATAGATGTGACACTGCTTCCCCCCTCATCCTTGTCACTGGAGTACCAGTTTCCGGTGTCACCTGCATCCCCAACGAGCCCTGGCTCCATTTCCATGCCTTCTTGCTGTGGGTAGAAGTTCTCATAGAAGTTCTGGGCTGGTGGGATGGGAGGCATCATTCCCGAGTGTGGGGAGTCTCCAGGACCATAGGGCATCATTGGGGGGCCACCAGGACCCATGGGAGGACCAGGGTTCATGCCAGGACCCATTGGCATGTCAGGATGCATGTCAGGATGCATGTCAGGGTGCATGTCAGGGTGCATGTCAGGATGCATGTCAGGATGCATGTCAGGATGCATGTCAGAATGCATATCAGGATGCATGGGACCCCCCATTGGCCCTGGGGGTCCCATGTTAGGGCCAGGACCCATTGGCCCTGAGGGTCCACCAGGTCCAGGGAACCTCACGCCCAGCTTCTCAGCTAGCTGCCCTGTGGGCCGCACCACAATCTCAAACAAAGAGGGGATCTTCTTGTTGTACATGTCCTGCTGTAGCTGCTGCGGGGACAGTGGCTCATGTGCTGGCAGGGGCATTTGAGGAGGCCCTGGAGGTGGGGGTGGGGGTGGAGGTGGTGGAGGAGGGCCACCCTGCATGGGCCTGCCATTAGGAGAGGTGGGAGCTGGGGGCCCTGGGGGCCGTGGAGGAGTGGGCAGGAGCCCCACGCCAGGAGGTGGCTTGGGCAAGGGGTTAATGCCCTGCTTCTTCAGCTCTTCCACCTCCTTCTCGTCCTCAGCACCTGCTTCTGCATCATCAGCCAACATCTTATCTAAAAGCTCTCGTGTCTCCTCAGTCAGCGGGTCATGAGAGAACATGCAGTCGTCACCATTGATGCAGTTCCCAGTGGTGTGGTATAACTTACAGGGAAAGTCACCATGCATGTAGGGGCAGTTCTCAGCCCGAGCACAGAACCCTGTGATGTAAAACTTGCACAGCTCCCGCTTCTTTGGCAGTTCGATGTCATGGCTAAAATTGCAGTGGTCTCCCCAAGTACATCGCCCCACCACGAAGTACTTGCAGATAACTTTGCCCTTCTTGTCAGACTGCTGGTGGGGCTTGTCATGATCACTTCGCCGGTAGCTTACACCACCGCCATCGCCCATGTCATCATCATAGTAGTCTTCATCGTCATTCATCCCGCCCTTGCTCATTCCCCCTCTGCTGCCTCGACCTCGGCCACGGCCCATCCCCTTCCCTCGACCTCCTCGGGAACCCCGGCCTCGGCCTCGACTTAAGCCTCGGCCTTGGCTGTCTTTGGACCTTCGGTACTGGTTCAGCTCCTTGGAGTAGTCATCGTAATCATCATCTCCCATGGGCTCCTCGCTTTCTCCATATTCCATCTCCTCCTCGTAAAAGTCCTCTTCATCCTCCAGGTGCTCTCCCACAGAGCCTCTGCCCCGGCCTCGACTGCCCCTGCCCATTCCTCGGCCTCGAGATCCTCCTCGGCTTCCACGGCCCCTGTAGCCCCTGCCCCGGCCTCGGCTACCTCGGCCCCGGCTGCTGCCCTCCTTGGCACGGCGGTACTGGTTCAGCTCTTTAGTGAAGTCATCATAGTCTTCCTTGCCCATGTCCTCCTCTTCATCCCCCTCATACTCCCCATACTGCTCATTCTCATAGTCCTCGTACATGCTGTAGCCCTTGCTATCCATCTTGGAGTAGGACTTCTTGGGCAGGAGCGCATTGTGTGACGAGGAGTACTGCTGGTGGGACGGTGCGTATGGTGGGCTATAGTCCTGGTACTTGCAGTGACCCTTCTCACTGGGGCTGAAATCTGAGTCATCTGAGAAGTCCGAGAAATCATCACTGGAAGAAGCATGGCGTTTGTGCTTGGATTTCCGCCTTTTCTTCGACCTCCTCTTCTCCTTCTCCCGTTCCTTCTTCCGCTTCCGTTTCAGTCTCCTGTGAGACTTTTCCTCATCCGAGTCGCTGTGGTGCTTCTCCCCCTTTTCTTTCCGACTCCTCTCTTGTCCCCCAGGGGCATCCTGGGTCTCCTCAGCCCCATCATCTTCCAGTTCACCTTCTTCCAACTCACCATCCTCCCTGTCGTCAGGGAGCGGGAGGCGGTGGTGGAGGAGGTGCGGGGTGGCCGCGCGGCCGTCGGGGGAACACGGAGGAGGAGAAGGCGTTGATGGCGGCGGCGGCGATGGCGGCGGCGGCGACTCTGATGGCGGCGGCGGGGGGGGGGGGGGGTGTCCCGGGCGCGGCCTCCATCGTTCCGAAAGCCGGAGACCGGTCCCAGGAGCCGGACGTTTCCGAAGAGGGGCTGGAGCCTTGAAGAGACTTTGAATAGAACACATGTACCTCAATATAAAAAATGCTATATAAAGCAAACATATAGCCAGTGTTACATAAAATGGAGAAAAACCTCAAAATATTTCCACTAAATTTACTACGAAGGCAAGAGTATCAACTTTCTACATTAGTATTCAACATAATAGCTTAAATCTTAGCTTGCCTAATATGAGAAGGAAATAAAGGATATAAAAATAGAAAGAATTACAAAAAACTTATTTGCAGATCATGTATTCCATATATTCTCCTATATTCTATACATAAGAATTCTATATATAAAAAGCTCCACCAGGAAAAACACAATGAGGACTACTGAGAACTCAAGAACAATGGCAATGGGTTTTTGATCCTACTGCACATACTGGCTTTGTGGGAGCCCAGGCAGCCTGGATGCTCACCTTACCAGACCTGGACGGAGGTGGGTGGTCCTTGGACTTCCCACAGGGCAGGGAACCCTGACTGCTCCTTGGGCTGATGAGGGAGGGGGACTTGATTGGGGGAGGGAGAGGGAAATGGGAGGCAGTGGCGGGGAAGAGACAGAAATCTTTAATAAATAAACAAATAAAACCACATTCAACTATATTAGTATTCAAAAACCAGTAGTTTCTTATATTCCAGTAATAAGCATGCTTAAGAAAAAAATCTGGGAAAGAATCCCATGCACAATTCTAAAATCCAAGACACCAATCTCCATTTTCAAACAAACAAAGCATCAATGACAACAACAAAGATAACAGCAACACCCCACTCAGAATAACCATAATCAAGGGAGTGAGAGATTTCTTCAGTGAAAATTATGAAACACTGAAGACAGAAACCAATTATGACACTAAAGGATGGAATGGCTTGCTTCCCATTTTTATGATTAGAAAAATTAAAATGGTTAAAATATTCATTCTTCTAAAACTGATCTACAGATTCTCTGTAATTATTATCAAAGTGACCACTGCTACTCTTCACAGAAACAGGGAAAAATTAAATTCATATGGAAGAACAAGAGACCCCAGATAGCCAGGGCATTAAACAAAAATTAGAATATTGGAAGTGTTACCATACCTGATTTCAAGTTTGCTATATATTCATACTAACAAAAATTGTATGGCACTAGCACAAAAATAAACAAATGCATGATGTAATAGAATATAGGACTCAGATACAAACCCATGCAGTTATAGCTATCAAATCTGTAGGCAGAGTTTTTCTTCGGGTCCAGCAAATCCCCAGTAACTGACTTGGAGAACTTTTATTAAATATAAAAGCTTGACCAATAACTTAGGGTTGTTACTAACTAATTCTTTCAATGTAAACTAACCATATTTCTTGTGTATGCTCTAGCTATTGGCCATTTAACCCTTTGTTGAACCAATGACAGCAACACATTTTCACAGCATACAAAAAGTTTGTTCCACAGCACAAATTTTTAGCAAAGATACTTAAAATACCCATTTGAGACAAGACATTCTCCTTTAAAGAATTTCTGGAAAACAAATTTATGTATTTTTTTAATTTCTGAGTATCACTGATTCAATCATGTGTGTTTGTGTACTGTGTGTGTGCATTCTGCCCATGGAGGTTCAAAGAAGGCATTTGACCCTGTAGAACTGGAGTTTCAGGTGTGCCATGTCAATGCCAGGAACTCAACCTAAGTTCTCTGCTGGAGCAGCAAGGGTTCTTCACTTCTGAACTGTCTCTCTATCATCCTGCAAAACCTCCTTTAACAAATGGTTCTGGGAAGACAAGATGTCCAGCTGTAGAAGAATGAAATTAGATCTCTCTTCCATACTGCAAAAGAATCAAGTTTCCAAATGGCTCAAGACTTGATATAAGACCTGGAACTCTGAAAGCATTAGAGAAAATGAGAAAAGATTTGAGACGTAGACACAGGCAAGAACTTTCTAAGACCCTGGCTGCTCAGAAGATACTGTTAACACCTGAAAAAATAACCTTAGGAAATTATTATCTTCTGCACAGAAAAAAAAGAAAAACCACTAATCCACTTGAAGGACAGACTGGAATGGGAGGAAATTTTTGCTAGTTATACATCTGATGGTGGATTAATATCTAGACTATTAAACAAAAACTTAAAAAGTGAACAAGAAATCAAACAGTCCAATCATTAATTGGTAATGAAGTGACTTTTCTTATTTCACTTAACCTACTCAAAAAAACAAAAAACAAAGAAATCCAGAGATGCCAAAAGGTTTGTCACATGATAGTTTTAGTTACAGTCCTAGGTTTTGTTAAGCTGATGACCAACAGTAGTCATCACAGGAACCTTTTATTATACACTGTGGTGAGAATGGACACAAGACCTAGCAAGGTCATCAAGAAACATCAGTAGACTAGATACTTTGCCAAATAACAGAGATACTTGGACATACATACACTGCAACACTACTCTAAAAAGTGAAGTTACTCAACTAACCTAGGTGTTTAGCAGCACAGGAATGAATAAAGAGTGTGCTATACATGGAGATTTTTTTCAGTCATAAAGTTAAAATATCGGGTTGGAGAGATGGCTCAGAGGTTAAGAGCATTGCCTGCTCTTCCAAAGGTCCTGAGTTCAATTCCCAGTATTTCAGAAGCCATGTTGTCTCGGCTTTCGCTCTTTTGGCCTTCCTTCTTGTCTCTAGGTTAATTTACCCTGATCTTTCTTCATATGCTGGTATCAGAGGCAGCATTTCTGGATTTTAGCATGAACTAGACACTAGCTCTCCTCCAGAAACCTTCCAGGTCTGCAGAGCCAGGTTAGGACTACTGAGGCACTCAGTTTTGTGGACTGAGTAACTATGAGTTAATAATAAAAGCAGCAATAATGTTGACAACAGATGTCAGTTTATAATGGATGATAAATTGATAAATAAGTTCAGACAAGAGGGGATGTGGAAGGAGGGAAGCAGGTTAATAAAACTTGATACTTGGTTTTCAATGTTTAGTAATTATAGACAGCTTTCCAATGGTCTAGGTGGTACTGAAAACTAGGAAGTGAGAAGTGTGAAATAAATGAAATTAAGGATTTCTAAGTCACTGATATTGTTGACACTAGGGAGTCTCTTCATTGAACAAGAGACTTGAAATGTCTATAGTATATTGTTGTAAAATTAGTCTGGAAGTGAGGTGTTAGAGAAATAAATCACCAAAGAAGAAGGTTACAAAGTGGTTATATTAAACTATGTTAGTTACTATGGTGATTACACGGCAAGAACACATTCTAGAAACAGAACATCTGTGCCTTCCTTCTTAATCTCAGTAAACTGTCATCCTGGCCTTAATTTGTCAATCACTTGTACCTTATGTTAGGATTTTGAGTGTAGATTCTTACGATTTGGGTTATGAAAACCACAATGATCATTTTCCCTAAGATATAATTTCATATTTAATTATTTTATTTTTATATGTATTATTGTCTTGCTTGATTGCATGTTATCACTTCTGTTCAGGGTGCTGTTGAGGCTACTAATGTAGTGGGAACTATAGGGGTAGAGAGCTGCTAAAGTCTGACCCATGTTCTCTGCAAGAAAAATAAACCCTCATAACTGCTGCACTACAGCTCTTCAACATTTCGTCTAGTGTACTTTAAAGCATGGAAACCAGAGATATTTTGTACACTGTCGTGGTTAAAAAAAATAAGCATATATATAAAGACTTAGAAAATGGTTTGTGGCCGGGCAGTGGTGGCGCACGCCTTTAATCCCAGCACTCGGGAGGCAGAGGCAGGCGGATCTCTGTGAGTTCGAGACCAGCCTGATCTACAAGAGCTAGTTCCAGGACAGGCTCCAAAACCACAGAGAAACCCTGTCTTGAAAAACCAAAAAAAAAAAGAAAAAGAAAAAAGAAAAAAAGAAAATGGTTTGTGTACTTTCTCCTGTCTTCTTATAATTGAGAAATGTAAGTCTATAATTAACTTCAAATCGCTTCTAATTCCATCTGATGGATCTCAGTCTTGTTATTTGGCTTAACTTATAGAATTTTCAGTGCCCCTCCATGTGTAGTATTGATCAATTACTCCTCTCTTCTGCCATTTTGATCTTCTATCATCTGGCTGTGATTTGAGCTTTTATCCTAACCATGGTTCCCAGGACTCAGTGCTCATTTCCTTCTCATTTACCCACTACAGTCAAACCTTATCTTCAGCATTACAGAATGTGGAGGTTCCAAAGTTTATCCTCACTTTCTTGGACTCTTCTTGCTGCTTAAGGAGAAAGACTGTTTATGGCTCAGTTTTTCTTCTTTTGTATGTGTTTATTGGGAGGGGTTTTTCTTTTCTAGGAGACTTAGTGAGGAATTTTGTTTTGTTCTTATTTTTACTACCAATTTGGGGTGTCTTCAGTGAAGTGCCACAGGTACCAAAAGCATGGGGCTGGGTGATCTATGATCCCACACTGAGCTTTATTGTCATTTCTAACTCCTTCCAAATCTGAGCCATTCATGAATCTGATTTGTATGGCAAGACTCTCATTCCTCCTAGATAGGTTTGCTCTCAGAAGTTTCTTAGATTTCATGTAAACATTCTCAATGTTAAGCAAGCTTGATACCACCCACTGTGCACATAACTAAGAAAATTCTCAATCTTGGGTCTCCTGCTACATAGAGATACAATTTTTTTCTTATAAAGACTGTATGAGAGTTAGGGTATTGCGTGCTAGCTTCTTTAAGTAAAGAACAGAGCAAAAGAACAGCAGGAAAGAGCTAAAATGAAACACCTGGAAAGGTGTTTTCTTATCTTTGAGAATGCATGTATTGGCATTTGCCTTTAAAGCTGACCCAGTCTTTTAATAATTCATCATATAGTGAATCACATGTCACTGCCTGATTAATTTCCCTATTTAAAGGGGCATTATCATTGGTTTCTTATTTATTTTTATATATTTATTGTTTTGTTGAGCTATATATTTTTCTATGCTCCCCTCCTTTCCTTC